TGCTGTACCTCTTTTTGGTGTCCTGCCCAGCTCACAGACATTAAAGGAGAACTATGGGGTTAAGGCTTTTCCCCATAGTTCTCCTAAGGGTAACGGAAGGACACAAACTAGCATCCTACCGTCACCCTAGGCTCAGTATACCCAGAGCTGTAGCTCGCGGTATACTGAGACGCCGCAGCTGAAGCGGATCCCGACAATTATGCTGGGATCCGCCCAGCTGCGTGACTGACAGCTGGCTCTGCCTATTTAGAGGCAGAGCCAGCTGTACCCGCCCCCTCCCTCGTCCGTTCCGCCAGTCAGCGCTGGCGGATCGGGGGAATACAGACCCTCCCCTGTCACGGCAGAGAGCCGTGACAAGATCGAGAGGTGAGCGAACGCCGGTATGTGTTCGCTCACCTCCCGATCTACTGAGCCGACCTGTGACAGTCTCATTGTCACAGGTCGGCTAGAACTATGAGGTGAGTGAAAAGCACTCACCTCATAGTTCTCATTTAATGGTTGCCAGGAGCTGGCCGTGATGCCAGTCAGAGTGTCCTGCTCAGCTCCTGGCAACGATGTCAGTGAGTTGGACAGCAACCTGGGACCCCATGACCCAATAAGATGCCACCGGAGGCCACCACCCTGAGTAGAGTAATTGTCTCCTGTCTGTAGAAGTTTCTATAGGCGATCTCTCTCCTGACCATGTTAATTATGTCACCGTATATATAGGACACACTGCGCACGGTACACATGGAATCAGGCTTCTGCTTGCACTACACATCCCAGCATGTCCACCATTATCTCATGCAGGGACGATCTTTAAACACGTGATTTCCTAGCAACCATTCTATTGCCTGTCACCATTTCCCGCCCCCCGTGTGGCGGCAGCTCCTAATTGATTAGGCTTCGGGTTGTCACGCCCAGCTCCGTTTCAAGCAAACGCCCCCGCCCAAGCCGGTGACGTCATCTGACAGCAGCCAATAAGGGGCTGCCACACTCCGGCTGTAGGTCCGGCCGAGAGTACTTCCGGCAGGTTTTCTCTTTTCTTCTGTCCCGGCTTCCCTGCTAGTCTAGGTCCGGCAGTGCAGCCGAGAGTTCTAATCTCCGGTGCAGACATGATGCGATCCCTCTTCAGCGCTTTATTGGTCCTGGCCGTAGCCTTCAATGCCGCCTGGGCCTCCGATGTCATAGACCTCACAGACGACGACTTTGAGGTCACCGTCAAGGAGTACTCTGTCATCCTGGTGGAGTTCTTCGCTCCCTGGTAAGTGGCGGCTGGGAGGGAGGCGGGACGGGGGCTTTAGAGCCCGGCCTGTGTGATGGCAATACAGTGGTAGCCTGGGTCTGATGCTGCGAGGGGACTGCGGGTACAGGCCAGGTATTAACTCACAATGACCGGCATGACCGGGTATTTCCTCACAATGACCGGCTTGGGGGCACTGCGGGTACAGGCCGGGTATTACCTCTCAATGACTGGCTTCGGGGCACTGCGGGTGCAGACCGGGTATTTCCTCACAATGACCGGCTTGGGGGCACTGCGGGTACAGGCCGGGTATTACCTCTCAATGACTGGCTTCGGGGCACTGCGGGTACAGTCCGGGTATTACCTCAATGACCGGCTTCGGGGCACTGCGGGTACAGGCCGGGTATTCCCACCCCTCTAGAATACGTCACTGTCACCGGGTGTGGGCTGCAGGAGCATTGCATGGTATAGGCAGCCTGACATTACATGAGAAGAATATGACCGTGCACAGCATGTCCTGCCATCCACTACATTAGTAGTGGCTGGT